AAACAACAGTCCAAACAGTGGACGGCAAAGGACGAACCAGTTCCAAAGAAGGTAAAGGCAGTACCGTCTGCTAAAAAGATCATAGCAATGGTCTTTTGGGATTTTAAAGGGATACTTCTAATAGATTATCTCGGAAAGTGAAGAACAATAAATTCCGAGTACTACAGCGACTTACTGGACCAGCTTAAGCAGAATATAAGCTAAAAACGCCTGTTTCATCAGGACAATGCACCTTGCCACAAGTCCGTTCTTGTGATGGCTAAAATTCATCAGCTAGGCTTTGAACTGTTAAACCGTCCTCTGTATTCGCCAGATCTAGCCCCGTCAGACTTTTATTTGTTTCCAAACCTAAAAAAATTCTTTCTGGCAAAAAAATTTCCACGGATTTAGAAGTAATTGCAGCCACAAACGCCTATTTTGACGAGTTGGATAAATCAGACTACAGTGACGGTATTAAATCGCTTGAACATCGTTGGGTCAAATGTATTACCCTACAAGGGGACTATATAGAAAAATAAATTCTTATTTAGTCACTATTGTGTTGCGTTCTATGTTAGGCCGGACACTTTTCATCCCATCCTTGTATCCTTTTGATACAATTGTTCTAATTTCGATCTTTTTTGATTTCGATCTTTTCTCACTTTTGAACTCCTGTAGATTTAAACCTTTGTTATTTGAACTTTTGTACTTTCGAAAACTGTTTCAATCGGACTTGTGATTGCTGAACTTTTTTGAAAATTTTAACTTATATCAACTCACTTTTGATTACATTAGAACAAAATGCGGATTAGATTCCTTTTAAAATAAGTTCTGCTCTTTTATATTATGTCTATTTGTTTGTATTTTATAAATGGTTATATTTTATAGCCACTAAAATTATTTTTTTATAATTAAGCAACAAATACATCCACAATCTTAAATAGTACGTATTTATTAGTAAGCGTAGAATATTTTCATTACAAATCTTGAAAAATATATTTGATTTAATCGAGATATTAGTTTATATACGAGAAGAGATCAATCGATAATTAAATCTAAAATTATTGAAGAAACCCAAGACACAGTAGAATTTAATCTGATACAATCATACAATTATTTGTAAGTCTTCCTATTCAACCTCCGTAACTTAGGGTTAAGTTTTTCCGTAAGGTATCAGAACAAAATCTGAATAATACCTTATTAGAATCCTTATATCAGTGTTTTATCGCGTGGTTTTTCCTCCCATAAAGAAAATTGACTTACTCCGATTGCTTAATATTACAAGTTACCAATGTAATAAAAGTTCGAAGCAAAATAGTTACGATTTCTATCATTACATCATTTCTTTTCAGTTCTAAAAAGTTGTTAGGATTCTATTATATGTCATTTATAACTTTTTAAATTATAGAGGTTATGAATTCTTGATTTAGAATACGTACCTGGTTTAAGTATATGAGGGTAGGGTCAGTTAGATAAAGAATTGAAAAAGTTTGAATTATCGGGTAAAGCATGTATGCTATACTTACATGTTATATTCTTAGTTTTAGTTTTCAACCTACTTCAAATATTTAATATCTTTGCTATTAATAGTTGATTAATGATTGTAAATGCCCTATATATTACTTCCATATCAAGACCAACTTAAATGTTCACAACATATTTTATAATAGTTTATTACATAACAAGTGTGGAAACTGCAACATTTCGCACAAGTGCGAGAAATACACTTTCTAACGAGTTGCGTACACTATTTTTCCTACAACCACACACAAAATCCTTAAAAAAACGTCTTTTTTAAATGAGAAATTCAATTAAACTATATCACACATATACTGAAAAGTATATCACACATGTGTTGAAAAGAATATCAACACATGTGTTGAAAAGTAAAAAAATCCTCCAAAATATTTTTTATTTTGTAACAGTAGAAATGACAAGAACTAATATTTATAACTAAAGCAGAACAAGAACTAATATAACAATAAGAAACATTTATAACTAAAGCAGAGATACTAACAGAGTAGTTTATAAAAATTTACATCTAAAGTAGAGATAACTAATGGAATGGATAAAAAATATTTGTAACTAAATTAGAGATAACTAACATAATAATTAGGAAATGTTTGTAACTAAACTGTATGAACTGAATAATTATTAATAATTTTGTTTTACTTTTTTCTGGGATGTTATAAAAGTTAAAAGTAAAATAACATTTACTAAATTGCAGTGGATTTTGTAATGTTGCATTATTATTATTATCTATTATTATTCTCAGTGGTTCCCCTAATATATGTGTTTATTGTCTCTTGTGGATCTACATTAATTTGTTGCTGTATATATGAAATAAACAAACTTGCACAGTATCTGGGTTGTGTAGTTTCAGCATTTTGTTCAGAGTATTGTTCAATGTTTTTACATGCAACTTCTTCGTTAAATGTGCTTGTGCTGCGAATGGTGTTCATTATTTTATTAGCAGTCATTAATCTATTAGTTGCAAAATCATCTATGTACTGCTCGGCCACGATAGAGGATTTCCATCCCCCGTGGCGCTTAAATGCAACAAGATCTGCTCCTGCATCTACCAAAATTGTTGCAGAAGAACGCCTAAAGGTGTGGCCAGTATATTGTTCTGGATTCGAAAGATTTAAAAACTTTGCCACCAACTTTGGCACAGTGCCTATTTTGTTTATACCCACTACTTGTTGGGTGCATTTTTTATTTGTATAATTAAGAAAAAACCTTAGTTGATTGGTTGGTGGCCTAAGATTGGCATATTTTTTAAATATGATACAAAACAGACCAGTAATCGTGAATTTTCTGGATACTTGGTTTTTGTGTTATCTATTTTTATCTAGCTGCTGTACCCAAATCCTCTATATCGTTTATAGTCAACTGTGTGAGCTCCTGCTTTCGGCATGCTCCTGATATTCCAAGGATACTCACACATTAAACAAAATAATACATAATAAACTTGCTCACCTTTGTAAATAAATATAATTCATCTGGAGCTGTTTCTATGAAATTATTTATTTCTTGTTGCTACAGGACTTTGGTTTTTTTGGTTTATAACCATCACTTTTTCTCTTTAAGAATGCCTTTAATTTTAGGTACCTACTTAGAAACATCAACATTGTGTTCAATAGACAGGGCAGTTCTCAACATTGAGTACTGTGTCCACAAAGTCGAACTTTGTACTTTTGATGATAATTCATTCATATAGGCCAGTAGAACATTTTCAGAAAACGCACTCTTTATTTGTTTCCTTTGTCTCAATTTAATGAATTGATCATAAACATATTGATACCTTACTCTGGATTTAGCAGGCAACAATTTGAGCGACGTGTTTTTAGCAGCTTCTGCTATTTCTGGAGGCGTACATTCAGAATCACTAGAATCCATTTTTTTGCAAGCTCAGTGCAATTTTACAATAAAATAAAATTTTACAAAATGACTGCTTGTGTGTTTGACAATTAATACCACAGCCTACTTAATGTAATTTTACAAATTTTTAAACTTACCTGTTGGGTTTAGTATAATCACAATAGCCATGAAGAATAAGTTTTCCTTCACTTTCTTTTAAATGCATTAACCAGTAATCTTTATAACACTTAATTTTAAAGTTTGAATTATCTTGTAGACACTAGTATGTATTTGAACAAAAATCACAATAAACTTTAAATATTTTCAAACTAATAGACACCTACAGAAAGGTGTATTGTAAACACTAACATAAACATAACCTCAAAAATTCACATTTACTGAAAATAACACTACAGAAAAGAAGAAGAAAATTATTTTCTTTCCAGAAGTACCTTAATAGAAAATTTTGTTTCAATATTCGATAAATAATAGTGAGTAAACATGTTTTATTATTATTTTATAATTTTAAAAACCTATATAAAAAACTTTATTGCTCATTTGATATTATATAAAAATTTGTAATGATAATTATAATGACAACTTTGATGTACATGTCAAAGGTCATAGGACGATATTTTTTTACTTTTTAATACTTGTGTCTTTTGCTATTTTGCAATACGTGTGTGATATATATTTCAGTACGCGTGTGATATAAGCTACTTTATTAAGACCAAATAAGTGTGCAAACTATCATTTTCGTATGTGGTCGTAGGAAAAGTATTTTTTATGGATACATACATTTATAAACGATATCCAATAATAATAGTATTTAATAATTATGTAGTACTTGATTTTTAATTTATTCTACAAATATTTGATACTGACGACCCAATCTGCATTTTCTATAGACCTTAGTTTAGCGTAGATCGTTAATATTTAGTTGGTACACTACTGACACCAAAACTAAACCTCGAGGCACTCTTGTATAGCCGTGATTTTTTTTAAAGGACAAGAATAACTAATATCAACATAAATTGAATAATATAATTTTGTCATTTTTGAAAATTTAGACCAATTTTCTTGAAATGAATGAAAGGAAATTTATATAAAAAGTTACATTTGTTTTTATAAGGTCCTATGTAATCAAAAATCTACTGCTACATAGCATTAATTTTCAAATAATCTATAAAAAAATGCTTTTTTTCTTAGAATGAGTAGTAACTAATTTTAGTATCATAACTTTATTCTAATTCTGTGGGAAGAAAATGATTTAATCTATTGTAATTATATTTACAATTTTTTTTTAACTAACAATTTATTTTTAATATTACTTATGAATTTTTACTTCTGAATTTAACATTTCTAAATCTTTAAATTCCATGTACATCATAATAGAAAGTGAAAATTTACGTCAGTTAATTAAAATTATTACAAATTTTTCTTCTTTGATAATGTTATTATTATATTTATTTTTCTGATTTTTTTTAAGACCTTGTATGCAATTGGAAATAATTTTCTTACTTTTTGAGTCACATCTGTATTTTGATCAAATTACAATAAAAAAAAATACCTAAAGTACTGGAATAAGATCTATTCAGCGTCATTATACCAAAATATAGTGAAATGAACGATTCGTGAAAACATTTTTCTGTACAATTTAGCCCGGTATTTCCTTAACTCCTGAGCACTCGTCAACATTAACTCCGATGCACCTCAGGAAAGCAAAACTGATGTTCTTCTGGGTGAGGTATCCGAGTTCTGCTGTCCTGAAGATGTATTTCCCCGACATCAAATTCAATAAAAACAACACTGCCCAGTTGGTGAAGTGGTTTTCGAACTTCAGGTGAGTACGAAACAAAAATATTACAATATTTTTATTTTTTTAATGTCAATTTTAAAATTACTGAAATCATTACGATGCTGTGTATTCTGATATAGATTTTGTTAAATACAACTGTAAGAGCCTTGGATAATTTAACAAAATGCTTGATAGTTTTTCTGGATCTAGCCAAGGCGTTCGATATAGCGAATCTTAATTTGTTGATAAAAAAATACGAGTCAAATTTGGCCAAGAAGTAAGCTCAGATTTAGTAGTGCATACTGGGATACTTCAAGGTACTGTTTTAGGACCAATACTGTTTCTCATGTACGTATTTAAATAGTATGACCAAAGTAGACAATTTCAAGGTCATAATATATGTTATGCAGATGAAACTGCACTTATTTTTACTGGTTCAATAATTGTAAGTTTAACCAAAATCCACTCCAAATACATACCAAGATACCAGTATGCTAAAAATCCAATTAATATACATTTATCAATGAATAATAAGAATATTTCATTAACAAAAAACGTATATACAAATACAGTAAACTAGAGAAATCTTGTTATTGATTTTTTTTTAGTTAATCAGCAACCCAAATCTCATTTCTATTCAACTACCCGAGAATTTTTAATGTTTTTCCAAATAACCAATTTCAATAGTTTCAAGCAAGAAATAATGAATTATATCAAAAAATACCCAGATAAATTTGTATTGTAATTAACAATAATTTGCTTGGATCATCACTTATGAACCTTGAAATATTGATATTAAAATTTGTTAAATTGTCTTAAATTTTTTAAAATACTTGTAGAACATTTTTATAAATAATTATTTTACTGTAGAAATAAGTCTTTTTTATGTAATATTATTTGCATTAAATTAAATTGAATTTTGAAGGCAAATAAAATATTTTTTTTTTACATCCACATGGATATTAGCATATCTACGCACAGATTAGAAAACGAAAAAGTATGCTATTGCCTTCAACTGAACGAATATATTTCATATCCATTCTAGGTAGTGAGAACACAGCAAAAAATAAAATTCACCAATCACCGTTCATATTTTGATCAACCGACTGCTATTATTTTTTAAATTTCAAATAAGTGACAATTCTGTCAAACAAAATGTCAGTATATTTTTTAGTTATTGACATTAAAAATAATTAAAATGGGTTATTCTTGTGTTTCTGTTTCTGTTTTTATTTCGTCTATAATTATAAATAATTTGTTAATTTAAATAAAACTATATGAAGTCAATTGAATTACGAGTATTAAAGCAACAAAAATAAAAGAATAGGTGGTCCTGTGGTTAACGTTCTTGCCTTCCACACGGAACAGTCGAGTTCGATTCTCGGGTGGGAAAAAATGAAATGAACTTTTCTTCTTTTTTTTGTTTATTTTATAAGTCATAAATTATTTTAAAATTACTTATTCTGTCTTAACACCTAAAATATTTTTTATATTTGTAAATTTTCATTAGTGGGTCGTGGAAAAAATATACTGTACAACTAGAGTGGATTGTCCACATCGCACTCAGATGATTGAGTACTCCGCCTACGGCGTCCTGCTCAAATTTCGTCTTCGTGCGATATGGCCATCATATCCACTCTTGTTGCACAATCTACTATTGTTCTCACATAATAAAAACCTACTTAGATTTAATACAGTAAAATATTTGTTTGGATTATTTCTTGCTTTTACCTAAAAAAAAAAATTGAGAATCATCAAACCTCTCACTTTATAACAGACAAAATTAAAGACAAATTTTTAAAATACAATTTGGGAATTATATCTCCTCCACAAATAGAATACTGCCATATTTGTGGAGGTAGAATTTATGTTATAGTTAGATTTAAAATTAATGTGATGATCTCATCAGCTTCCACTGTTGCCCACATACATCTATTGTGGCTCTTGGTTGCCTATTATTATCGCAGAAGAAATTATTAAGGCTCAATTCCACCGATTTATAGTTAAACCATCCATATTTAAACGGTTTACTTTCTAGTATATTACATTACGAGTGAGGAAAGTGACATTTTTCACACGAGTGGGAAATATAGTCGCACGAGGCACAAGCCGAGTGCGACTATCACACGAGTGTGGAAAATCACTTTTCACACAAGTAATGTACAATATTTTTCCTACGACCACAAAATAATTTCATCAAAAAATGTAAAACCAGGTAATTATTATAATAATTAAAATGTATTTAAAAAAATAATCAACAATAATGGTATTTATTTAATTTTCATATTTTCTAAACAAATAAAAAAAATAAAAAAACAAAAAAAAACTGCCACCGCCAGGATTTGAACGCGGTCGCTCGACAGGTCTCAAATACAAAGTTCACGCTCTAACCATCTGAGATAATAGGGCTTACGATAATTGATTGATCTAATCGGTTATGTGTTTAACCAGAATAAAAAGCAAACATATCTTAGTTATTTTAAAATTATTTTAATAATAATTGTTAAAGAGGATCTAATTTACAACAATTTAAATAATTTAACAATCATATCGATTTTAGTATTAATATGGACATACAATAGATCAAAATAGAAATGATGTGTTTGACATTTTATGACAGCAGCTGCGGAAAGTAGCACATTCATACACGGGTGGAAAGTAAAGTCTTATTCATACGCGTGTGATATAGGACATTTTTCATAGGAAAAGTCGTAGGAAAAGTTATTATCTACCGTCCTACTAGACAGAATTCCACCACTAGGAGTTAAGAAATAAACCACAATTAAAATGACATTTTTCCATTAAAACCTTAGTAGATCAATCTTTTTTGTTAAGCTGTCAAAATTAAAAGTAACTAACTTTACTCTATTCTTTTAACCTCACTTTTGTATTCTTGGTAGCAGTTAAATATTTTTTATTGTTAGTGTCCATTTTTTTAGCATAATAAATAAAAATAAAAGAATTCATAAGTAAACTTCAAATCAACTGATATCAGTTCAAGACAAGGTTTTTTTTAATGAGACGAACTCGTTTAAAAAATGCTAGATCATCCAATCCAACAAAATTATCGTGTCTCATTAAAAATCTTCTTTTTTTTTCATTTTTTTTTATTCTTGAGAGAATAATTTAAACTGCAGTTTAGACCAATAAAACGTACTTTACATGTCGGTGGAAACAATATTTTTTTTTAAATCTGAGATTATTCTTTTAAACTTTGTTTAATACAGCGGTGGAATCAGCCCAAAACAGAAATTATTTTTGTTCTGTAAAAATAGAATCAGTTGAATCCCTTAACAACGGCTCTGTCTCTGTATACCAATATTATTAACAGGTACACTTGAATAAGTACCGATAACGAAACTCATATCGGAGCTTTTCCGTAATCTTATGTATTTCCAGTATGACGCTAATGATCAGCAAACAATTTTCCGAAAATTGCGCGATAAGTATCTTTTGTACCTATTACTTATACACCTAACATGACTTTCATGCTGTTTAGACAGATGTGTATCTCACGATAAGATAAGAAATTCAATAGCATTAGGTTTTTAATATAACCACTTTTAGTAATAAAAAAGAATATGGAAATTATATTGTGATGTAGAAAGGCTTATCTGCAGGGCCGTATTTAATGTTATTTGTACCTACTGTATATTAGTTTGACGTCTATCAACATTAAAAAATATTCACTTACAAACCAGTGAATATTTATAAAAATTCTACAAAAAATTAACTTTTCATTGATGTGTCATATTTTGTACTTTCCCTATTTAAACTGTATTGATTACAGTGACGGAGGGAAGAGAAATAACTTGACAGTAGAGGATATAAAATATGATTTCACACTGTACGGTTCCGAGAGTTTGTCTAAAATGTTTACGCAGTTTCTGATATTGGTTCTGGTGCGTTTTCGTCGGTCCAAGCTTCCATTAACTCAATAACAAAAAAAAAACATGGATAAACAAATTCAGAAGGTATTTTTTAAATTAAAAACAATCCATCAAAAAATTAACAACAAAAATGCTCATATAGTAAGGAATAAAAACGTGGCTCTTTTTAGTTTAGTTTGAAAAAATTCATAATTACATGCCTACTGATATTATTTTAATTAATATTAAATAGGAATATTTTAAATATATATTAGATGTATAAAATGTTGCCTGGAAGAAGGCAGAACTTACCTATTTTCAAAGAAACAGTTGATGTTAGTCAACGAAAAATCTAGCCTGTTTTGTGCTGTCCTTAATAGTTCGCATGTATTGAAAGGTTTGTGATGAATAGATGAATAGAAGAACACCAGGCAACCTGTTAGAGATTATTCTCGTTTGACGTTTAATCCCAAATTTGTGTATTTCTGTCTGATATGGAAATTTCGCCATCTTAATTTATTTTGATTCCTATTGATGGGAGAAAATGTGTAATTACAAAAAATTAAAAAATGTTAAGCTTGAGATCTGCAAAACATTTTATTCTAGGAAGAACCCTCTTTAGTTTGTTAACAAAAATGTAGAGGGCGGCGAAGTTTCCAAAAATCAGGTCTATAAACTATCCTATAAATACCACTACAATTGTTAATAACTTATCTCAACAATATCTAAGTTACAGCCAGTGGCAGCTCTAGGCCAAAAAATTGGGGGTTTACAGTGAGATAATATAGGTCTCAGTACAGATTTAGGTAGAAAGCTTTCAGTGTTTTGGAAAGATGTTTTATAAAAACTAAAAGTTTTTTACCTGAATCTGTACTGAGATATATATTCAGTCATTGTGAACCCCCAATTTTTGCTCACGAGTCGCCACTGGTTACAGCAATATGCGTGTTCGAAATTTAATTTGAAAGTTATTATAGGATGTTTTCAGATTCTCTGAAACAACCAAAAATTTTATGATTAAAATTCAGTGGCGTAGCCACGGGGGGATGTTTTGGGGTCAGAACCTCCCATGTAGGGTCCTCGCGTCACCATTTTCGTTATAGTACTGGCACTAATTGCTATTTACTGTTTGTTTTTATGCAGTTTCTTGCTGGACCCCCGCCCCCTATAGTTTTC